CGCACACGCACACGCACACGCACACGCACACATACACCACATACTTCTACAATTAGATTGATCTGAGAATTTTAGGTACTATTTATGGAGAAGAATTTGGCCTGAAAGTAAGAAGGAATTCTGTCTTTTGTCATTTTTTAGTAATCTGATGTCATCATGCTATTCCCTCGGTGTTTGAGAGTACACTGACAGGCCAGGGACTTGTAGGAAAAAAGAAAATGGGAGCAGGGGTAAAAGAGAATGAATTGTAAAGATAGCCAGAAATAATCAAGAGAGAAAAATCTACAATAGGAATTAGTGGAACACCATCAATATTCTCAAAGGTATCCAATGACATGAGATAAATACAGAAGTGGGAAACGTTAAAGGGCAACACATCAGGAATCGATGGGGTACAGGAAACATCTAGGTCAATGTGTGAGTCACACACACATACACACAGCACACACACACACACACACACACACACACACACATACACAGCACACCTTTTGAATGGTTTCGTTACCATTCTTAGAAGGCATCTAAAAACCCAAGGACTGAAGATATGATACATAAGTACCATGAAGAAATGATACTTCTCACAGCCAAACCCTGTGCTCAAGAGAATGACCACAGTCCAAGGTCCTTCGTAATAATGAGGAATCCAGCTTTCAAAACAGGAAATGTAAATTTAATGTTAAACACAAATAGATTAGTAAAATTTATAGGCTCTCATCAGATCCTAATTTATAATTTGTCTAAGTTATATATCATCATCTTAATTGTTTATGTTCTGTATTACAGCTAATCGAAGTATCCCTCTGAAAAAAATATTAGCGGATGTGAACTCGGTTGTAGGCAAGTTAAAAGTTCTCTAAAGTTTAAAACCCTAAATTTTAATGCTGTCCTCAGATCTTTTCATTAATACATAAACTCACAAGCCCAGGAGGCATATAAACAAAACTCTGGTGTCTTCTCAGTGTTCTGCTTCCTCATCTAGATGTCCCAAGGGTGGGTGATGTTGGCACACGAGCATGAGGATCAGATCAATCCCCAGAACCTACATAAATAGCAAATTGTGGTGGTACACCCTTTTAATCCCAGCACTGGAGAGGTGAAGATTGGTGGATCCCTGGGTCTTGCTGGTCAGCCAAACTAGCATAACATGTGAGCTCCAAGCCAGTGAGAGACACTGTCTCAAAAAGGTGTATGGCCCCACAGCTGAAGCAGACCTCTGGCCTCTATACTCACACACACCAGCACATACCTATGCACCCACGAATACACCCACACAGGCATATACAACACACAAGTGATTTTTTTTTATGTGTAATAAAAGAGCTCCCCTCCTCAGAGTGAAAGAAACATGGTCTATTCTCTTCTGTTGTTTATTCTGCTTTGGAGCCTTTCTGTGCCTTGGTTTTCTAACAGTTACATGTTGTGATATTTGTTAATACTGTAAATTATACTTACTACTTCTGTTTTTTGAAGGAGAAAAAGTTAGTGCTAAAGATGTGAAAAGTTTTTTAGAAGCCGCTGGAATAACATTAACACCTAAAGAATACTTAGAACTGATGAGAAATCTACCGACTGACGGTGAGTTTTTCAAACACTATTAGAATGTTAGTAAAAGTTAGGTTGGGTGTCAAGATACTTTAAAAAATGAACAGACTTTTATCTCCTGGTATAATTGACTGCATCCCCGTTGTTGTTGTTGTTGTTGTTGTTAAGAGCTGTCAAAACTTTTTCATAGGACCTTGTTCTTGCCCCAGAAAGTATAATCTTGTTCTTGCACTGAGAGTCAGCAACTCTATTTTCTTGATTTCCTATGATTGGGAATGAAAGCCATTATTATGTTCCAGTCTCCCTACCAGGGAAAGCTAACTTTGGAGATGTAAAGGAAGTGAGGCTGGTGGGAATAGGGAAGAGGAAGAAAGAAGAGAAGCAGAGAAAAGATGGGTTTGTATTCCTGTAGGATGTGGCAACAAGCTATTACACTTACTTTCATCCAGCTACATATATGCTCTGAAAGATTTCTCCATTCCTTGCTTTTGAACTCAAGCAAAATATCAAACTATTTATAAGGCAAATCACTGAAAAGCACCAAAGCACCTGGGTGGGATGGTAGCTCTGTCCTGTCCTTCTGAATGACTGGTACCACTTTTCTGTGATGTGTGTGTGCCCCTGTTTTGCAGATAATGGAAATATATATGAAAACAGATTGATAGACTGTCTGAAATCGTTCAGAGGTAAGGGGCATGATGAGAAGAAGGATAAACAGAGCCCTTGACTCACAATTGTATCTGGTTGTCCTCTCGTGGGGACCGTCCTCCCCCACGCCAATCCCACACGTACTCTCCTGGCTTCCCACGCCAATCCCACACGTACTCTCCTGGCTTCCCACGCCAATCCCACACGTACTCTCCTGGCTTCCCACGCCAATCCCACACTTACTCTCCTGGCTTCCCATGCCAATCCCACACTTACTCTCCTGGCTTCCCACGCCAATCCCACACTTACTCTCCTGGCTTCCCACGCCAATCCCACACTTACTCTCCTGGCTTCCCACGCCAATCCCACACTTACTCTCCTGGCTTCCCACGCCAATCCCACACGTACTCTCCTGGCTTCCCACGCCAATCCCACACGTACTCTCCTGGCTTCCCACGCCAATCCCACACTTACTCTCCTGGCTTCCCATGCCAATCCCACACTTACTCTCCTGGCTTCCCATGCCAATCCCACACGTACTCTCCTGGCTTCACATCCACATTTTCCAAGTAATTTTTCATTCTGCTGCTAAGATTAGCTTTTGACAAAAATCAAATTGAAATCTGGTTGTACATAGAAAGTATCATTTGGGGGCTATTACCTGGGGAAAAATTTCCTAACTCAACAAGCTAAAGTGAGCTCTTAAGCCCTATGTTGTACCTGGTGGGAGAGTGAGTTCATACTTTTTGGGATTTTCCCCTACACCAAGCAAGAGCATTCTCAGTTCTCTTTGCATTTTGGCCACTTCTGTGCACTTGAACATCTGGGTACTGACACTCTTGCTGACAGCCATGATATGGGGGAATCAAAGAAAGTGTTCTTAGTCAGCAAAGTTACTAAGTTCCTTTTGTGTCTTTGATTCTTTCCTTAGGTGGGACAGTTGATGTTAATAACTTAGAAAATGCCTTGGAAAACTTGAAAATCAAGCTCTCAGATGAAAAACTAAAAGATCTGTCAGAAAACCTTCCAATTGATGGTAAGCATGTGACTGGTATCAGACCTTCCAGGGACCCTCGCCCTCCAGAGTTTGTGCCTGAGGCCTCTGGAAGCATCATCCATCTGTTTTGATGCTAATATGATTTTTTTATCTTTTGTTTGTTTGTTTGTTTGGTTGGTTGGTTGGTTGGTTGGTTGGTTTTTCAAGACAGAGTTTCTCTGTGTAACAGCCCTGGCTGTCCTGGAACTCACTTTGTATACCAGACTGGTCTCAAACTCACAGAGATCCACCTGCCTCTACCTCCCGAGTGCTGGGATTAAAGGCGTGATTCACCACCACCCAGCTGATTTTTTTTATCTTAAAGAAGAATCTAGTCCATGTAAGAGCACATTTTGGTTTAGTATATTTTCATTAATTTTGATATATATGATATATGTGCTAGAGTGAGTTATGGGGAATATATCTTTACTTGAGGGACACTGAAGGAAGATAGCTTATTATAGTGAAAGGGTTGCTAATTTCACATTAATTACATCATTTCCGTATCTTCCAAAAGCTATGTCATCAAACTACATGTTTCTCTACCTTGTAATATATAGACTTCCTTGTCTGTTCCTCCTCTATTTTGACACTGTCCACAGGATTCCAACCTGGCCTCAAGTCTTTGATAGACCAGCAATTTTGAACTACAATGTTATATCTTCTCTTTAAAAGGAACAGACAGACGAGAACAGACTCCCACAAGTCATCCTCTGACATGTGCATGGGTGTTGTGACATGTGCACACCTACACGCAGATATACACAGTGGTGGTTTGAATGAGAATGGCCCCCAAGGCTCTTATATTTGAATGTTTGGTTCCCAGTTAGTGGAACTGTCTGGGAAGGATTGGGAAGTGTGGTGTTGGAAGGAGTGTGGCCTTGTTGGAAGAGGGTATGCCACTGGGGATAGGCTTTGAGGTTTCAGGAGCCCATGCCAGGCTCTACCTGTAACTTCTGGTTAGATGTGATCTCTCAACTGGAACTCCAGCACTGCATCTGCTGCCACACTCCCTGCCATCGTGGACATAACTCACCCTCTGAAACTGTAAGCAAGCCCCCAGTTAAATGCTTCCTTCTATAACTTGCCCTGGTCATGGCATTTTATCACAGCAACAGAATAGTAACTAAGACATACACACACACACACACACACACACACACACACACACACACACACACACACACAAGCACACACAAACAAATGAAAAATGTAATAAAATAGACTTCCAGTCCTCTTACTCTCACTACCAAATAATGTAGTCCTCTTATTCATTGCAATTATAGTCCCTGGATGCCTCTTTGGATTGTATACATAAACCATCTCCTGATTTCTCTCACTATCCAACACTCTTCTGTCCCTCTGCTCTGTGATGATCTCAGCATTTGGTTGGCCATCACTGAAGTCTCACATACGTCACTGAGCTTTACTATAGAATGATGTGAGCCTGTCTCTCCAGATTAATTTCCTCTTGGGTAACAGAAGGACCTAAGAACATTTTACCTCCATTCTCTTCCTTCTCTATGTTAAGGTGCTTCTCTCTTTAGTTCTGTGCTGGTCTATTTTAATTTAGAGAAATATCAGTGGTCATATTAGTTATTTGTCTCATCGCTGGAACAAGTCCATGACAAAGGCAGCTGGAGGAAGGAGGTTTGTTTTGGCTGACACTTTAGGAGATGCGGTCCTATGTTGCTAGAGTTTTCCTGCCTGGCCCACATTCAGGACAAATCTCTCTCACCCACCAGTCCCAAGCCGCTCAAACCTGATCAAGTAAACACAGAGACTTATATTGGTTACAAACTGTATGGCCGTGGCAGGCTTCTTGCTAACTGTTCTTACAGCTTAAATTAATCCATTTCTATTAATCTATACCTTGCCACGTGGCTTGTGGCTTACTGGTACTTTACATCTTCCTTATCCTGATGGCGGCTGGTAGTGTCTCCCCCACCCAGCTTCCTGTTCTCTCAATTCTCCTCTCTGTTAGTCCCGCCTATACTTCCTGCCTGGCCACTGCCAATCAGTGATTTATTCATTGACCAATCAGCAACACATTTGACATACAGACCATCCCACAGCACTTCCCCTTTTCTTTTCTTAAAAAGGAAGGTTTTAACCTTTACACATCTCCAAAGTCAGCTTGGTATATTTGGGAATTTGGGCGTAGTTTCTCTTACTACTTCCTGCCGGAGGGGGGCGCTGTATCTTATGGGGACACAAAGAATATTTTAGGGTTATGGAGTAGTCCATGAGGGTGTATCGTCTGAGCCAGTTGCCTTGAAACGGTTCTGGATGTTGGATCATCTGGGCCATGGTGTCATCAGAGACCTTTCAGGTGGTCTTGGCTGGTCAAACCTGATGTGTCTTAATCTGGAACAAATCCATAGCCTCTGGCTTTCTGTGGAAACAAAAGCAGAGCCTCCTTTCCAAAGCAACATATCCTTACATCTAAATTTTGAAGTCAAGTTACCTTTAAAATATACATTTTGGCATAACTCAACAGCTTTTGTAATCAAATGTTTTTCTTTAGTTACGAATATCAAAGAGAACATAATCCAGATTCTCTGTGTGGTAGCCATCTTTACGTGGCTTATTTTTTTATATTAGCTTGAGCCTATTGCTTTAAACTGCAGCCTTCTAAGCCTGAAACGGCGCTGGCGCTGTGGCTGCTGGCTCCACCCACTTCAGCTTCCCAACATGGTGGTGCTACGTTTTCCGCCAGCTCTGGGAGCCATCAACTCTCAGAAATAGTGGGTCTGTGCTTCTATCAAGCAGCGTGTAGCCCAGAAACCTCTTTTTTTTTTTTTTTGTTTTGTACTAGCAAAGGCTAAATCCACCACACAGCTTAATGTGCCACTTGCAGAGGCCTCATTCCCACCATACTGCAGGTCGAGCATGCACGCACGATAGGAACCCGCCAGTAGCTCAAACTAGTAGCTCAAACCGGCAGCTGCCGCTCATTTGAGAGAGACAATTAGGAAGCTGTTTTTAGCTCTGTTTTAGAATCTTTTTTCTCAGTTTTTAGGTGGAAACTCTTGCCACCACGTTGGACGCCATTTGTTGCTAATGTTTTCCTGCCTGGCCCACATTCAGGACAAATCTCTCTCACCCACCAGTCCCAAGCCGCTCAAACCTGATCAAGTAAACACAGAGACTTATATTGGTTACAAACTGTATGGCCATGGCAGGCATCTTGCTAACTGTTCTTACAGCTTAAATTAATCCATTTCTATTAATCTATACCTTGCCACGTGGCTTGAGGCTTACCGGTACTTTACATCTTCCTTGTCCTGATGGCGGCTGGTAGTGTCTCCCCCACCCAGCTTCCTGTTCTCTCAATTCTCCTCTCTGTTAGTCCCGCCTATACTTCCTGCCTGGCCACTGCCAATCAGTGATTTATTCATTGATCAATCAGCAACACATTTGACATACAGACCATCCCACAGCAGTCCTAGGCGGCAGGGATGGTGTGGCAGCAGGAATGATGTGGCGGCAGGGATGGTGTGGTGGCAGGAGCAGGAGTTCACATCCACTGTCAGGAGGGAGAGAGCAATGAATGCCTGTGCTCAACTTCCTTCTAATCCAGTCCAGGACCCTAGGCAAAGGAAGGATGCAACCCACAATTAGGGTGGATCTTCCCACCTCAACTTACTCTAGATAAGCCCTCACAGACGTGCCTAGAGATTTTGTTTCCATGGTGATTTTACATCCCATCAAGTTAACAATCAGCATTGACCTAGTAGTGTAATATTTTTATAACACCAATGATCATTTGGAGTTACTCAAGTGTGCACACATTCTTAGCTTTTTATTCTTTCTTGCATCTCCAACTTTGCCTTTAGGATGATTTTTCTTCTGCCAAAAGTAAATATCATTGACAAATACTCTTTTTCTGCTATAAAATTATCTAGTCAGTTTAACATGTGGTATATGCTTATATGCTTATACTCCTACCACTCAAGAGGCTGAGGCAGGAAGATTGCAAGTTTGAGACTACCCTAAGGTATGTATCAAGAGCCTGTCTGAGTAAAACACACACACACACACACACACACACACACACACACACACACACACACACACACACGAGTTTGCTATAATTCCTGATAGACATGTTTTCTGAGCATAGAATTTTAGTTAGTCATTTTCTTTCATACACTTAAAATATCATCCTACAATCATGTTTTCTAATGTTGATGGGAAGTCAACTGTAAATATTACTTAATTGTTCTGCTGTTTTTGCTTTTAGGATAGTTACCTTTAGTTCTGAAGCTTCGCTGTGATGTGGAAATTTGAAATGGATTGATTTTCATGTATCTGCCTTAGGATTCATTGGGCTTTTGAATTGAAATCCTTTATCAGATGTAGAAAACTACCAGATATTTTTCTTATAATCTTGTCCTTATTCTGTAGGATTTTTTTTTCATTTCTTCCATAACTTTGATTAAAGAAAGACAAACTATCTTCTTTGTCCTTGATTTCTCTTCATTTTTGTCCATATGTTTTCTTCCTATGATCCATAGAAGTCTTAAATATATACATTCTATAAGTGGTAAGAATTCACAAAGCACCCATCTGCCATATTGACTGTAAGGAGTATTTGTAATAGAAATAGCCTCCTAAGGAAGAATGGAATTACATACTAGTGGCATGTCCTTTATTGTAAGAAATACCAATAATGAGCATAGTTTCCAGTTTTGTTTTTGTCCTAAAATGTCCTACATCTTTGGCCTGGGGTGATGGCTCAGCAGTTAAGAGCACTGGCTGCTCTTACAGAGCAGCTGGGTTTGACTCCGAGCACCCACATCGTTCCTCACAACCATCTGTAACTCCAGTTCCAGGTGATCTGATGCCTTCTTCTGGTCTTTTCAGGTCCTGCACACAGATAGTGCACAAACATACATACAGGCATAACACCTATACACATAATATTTTTAGTGAAGAATTAAATATACTACATCTTCAATTCCAACAAGTTATACTGATTTGAGGACATGCTAGTAGACAGTATAAACTAAAGAGAACAAGCCTGAGGAGAGGGATGTACATGATATGCAAAGCTTAAGATCTTCTTTTCTTTTTCTTTTAGGAGTGTGTATGTGTGTGCGTGTGCGTGTGCGTGTGCGTGTGTGTGTGTGTGTAGTGGGCAATATGTGCCATGGTGAGTGTGGAGGTCAGGGGGCCTCTGGAATTAGTTCTTTCCTTCCATCATGTGTGTCCCAGGAATTGAACTCCGGTCATCAGACTTGGCAGCAAGTGTCCTTGTCTACTGAATAGTCTTTCCAGCCCAAGGTTGAGATCTTGAAAAAGAAAAATAGAGAGTAGATAATGAGATTAATAGTCAACATATTTCAAGAGTAATTTTCCTGATTTCATGTTCGTCTATGTATGCTATAATTCAAAACAAATCAGCAAAAAGTCCTACTTAATGTCCCCTTTACCTCTGAGTCGGCGCACAGTTACTCAGTTATTCATGTATGTGTGACGGTGGCCTTTTTACAGCCTCTGGGAAGATTGATCTGCAGAGACTAATGAAAGAAGTACGAAAATTCACAGGTAAGCAAGGCCTTTTGCAAAAGACACACGACTGTTACACAAAAGCTTCACATCTACATACATTTTTGAAAATGAGTTTTCTTAGCTGGACTATAGTGCACACTCATAATTTCAGCATTCAGGATGCTAAGGCAGAAGAATTGCTGCAAGTTCAAGGCCAGTCTGGAGACTTAGTGAGAACCAGGCCAGCCAGGGCTAGATAGAGTTCAGCACAGTAATCCAGCATTCAGGAGGACTGCAGAGGTTCAAGGCTAACTTGTCCTTCAGTAGGGAGAGTTCCAGACCAGCAGAGCTGGGTAGAAGAAGCTTTACACAATGCCGGGTGTGTTCTGATCTCGTCACTGGCTTTACATTTTTTAACTGGCATAAAGATTACATCTATTTATTTAACCTTTAGCAAAATTTTGTGATGATCTATGTCTATGAGTTCTACAATTATTCTGAAGCCTCCGTTAGTTTATGCTTCATGTCACCATGGTAACACAGCTAACAAACGTCATCATGCATTCAAAATACTCGGCAACTACTCTCACTGAGGAAACATTAGGATACAACTGTGACAGTATGCCAGTGATGTGGCTTGTGAGGTGACCCATCTCATCATCCAGCCAAAACAGAGGGCAGTACAGATCTGAGCTGATGTTGGTACACCTGAGATTAGGTACAGCTATGCAGGGGCTTCCTGTGCATCTCTTTGTTGTAAGCAGGATTAACACCTCTGAGGCCATTTAGACCATTGCAAACCCATAGTTTCTTCAAATTTGAACACATTTCCATGAGTCCTGTACCAACTTACTTTTATCATCTAAAGTCAGCAAGCAATTCTCACTTTTACTATTGCCATTTTTTTTTCCAAAGGAGGAAAAATTGATGCCAAACTCGCACAAAGAGTGCTGGGGAACATGGGCATAGAGCTCACGAACAGGGAAGTCAATGAGCTAATGAAAAGGCTGCCTGTCACTGGTAGGTACTCTGTTGACTGGAATGCATCTCTGTGCTTGTATAAACTTTAGTATGAGAACATCCTAAAAAGTGATGCCTCTCCTGCCCTACAACACCTAAAACACAAAGAGAACAAATTGTAATTGGGCCGGGTGGTGGCGGCATATGCCTTTAATCCTGGCACTCGGGAGGCAGAGGCAAGCAGATCTCTGTGAGTTCGAGGCCAGCCTGATCTACAAAGTGAATTCCAGGACAGAGTCCAAAGCTACACAGAGAAACCCTGTCTCGAAAAAAAAAATTGTAATTGGAACGGTATTGTGTCTAGCATTTAAATTTGTTTTGATAGCATCTCCCCCCCACACCCCACCAACATCTTTAAACTTAATCTTGGTATTAAAAGTGTTGTTCCTGGCTGTGGAGATGGCTCAGTAGGTAAAAGCACTTGCTGTGTAAGACTACTGATCTGAGCTCACATCCCTGGAACACATATGAAAGTTGCAGTACTCAGGTCTACAATCCTGGCTCTACCACAGTGAGATGGGAGGCAGAGACAGAGTCCCCAAAAGTTCCCAGATCAGCTAGCCTGGAATACACAGTGCAAGAGCAAACAAGACAGACCCTGTCTCAAACAAGATGGCTGATAAGTACTGACATCTAAGATTGTACTCCAACCTACACACACACACACACACACACACACACACACACACACACACACACACACATACAAATAGATAGATAGATAGATAGATAGATAGATAGATAGATAGATAGATAGATAGATAAGCAAAGTTTAAATAAAGAGGACAAACTTGATGAACTAATGGTAACAGCAAGAAGAAAGGGAAAGCAAGCTTGGCATGAGGAAAGACATCTATCAGCCCACATTCAGAACTCTGTCCAGGGCTGGGGGAAGGCTCAGCGGTAGGGCACTTGATTAGGTGCACAAAGCCCTGGGGGAAAAAAGAGGAGGATAAAGGGGGATCTTGGGGACTTAGATCCATGGAAAGCCCTGGGTTCAGTCCCCAGCTCCAAAGAAGGTGAGAGGTGAAAGTCACAAAAGAAGGAGGAACAGGAATAGAAGAGAAAAGAAAAAGAAAGGAAAAAAATTTTCTTACTTTGCACTTCTTTATAAAGACGTGTGTAGATAATGAGAACTATAGAAATATAAATTTAAGGGCTGGAGGGATGGCTCAGAGGTTAAGAGCATTGGCTACTCTTCCAGAGGTTTTGGGTTCAATTCCCAGTAACCACATGGTGGCTCACAACCATCTATAATGAGATCTAGTGCCCTCTTCTGGCGTGCAGGCAGAACATGCAGGCAGAACACTGTATACATAATAAATAAAGAAGTATAAATTTCAAAGGTAAATTCTTATAATATGCACTTAAAGTTATATCCTTCTATACCTTTTTTACAGTATACATAATTTTTCTCTAATTTTAAATGTTTCATATTTTACAGATGATGGGAAGATACTTAAAAACATATTACTTGATCATGTAAAGTGGTTTCCTGGTAAGTGATAATCACAATAAAGCAATTCAAACTATTATCTGTGCTTTACCTTGACCTAACAAAAATCATGTCATCATTACATAATCAGGTGATTTATTTTCTCTAAGTTTGTAGATCTTTTAGATGCAGCTATAACTAATCAGTTTATAATTTTCTATTATAATTGGCAATGCAAATGCTTCAAATTCTGTTTGCAAATCAAGAGTATTAGTCATTGTCTGATATAATTCATAGTTCATCTGAAAGATACAATTTATAGTATATAGAATCAGTACATGCAATCAATGTATAAATAAAAATTTACATAACCCTTCTGATAAATAATTAACTTCTAAATACAACCTTCCTGCAAACTGTAGAAAACATCCCTGAAGCAGGATTGGCAAAATACATTGTGTTCTCAGCTTCCACCGTGTCTCTGCAGCCCTCAGAGTTGTCTGATTTTACTATGCTCTGGGTTGCTTCCATCTGTGGTAACTTAGGCTCCAGCTCCTTCATTTGTGACCTCCTTCTTTCCTCAGGGGGCAAGTGTCATGCCTCCAAAATGGATGCCATCCTAGAAGACATGGGTTATGAGCTGGAGGATGAGGAAATTGAAGACCTGCAGAGCCATCTGCCCATTGAAGGTGAGCATGTCATGGTGTCTTCAGAGACACTCTCAGCTCTTCCAATAAACTTCCAAATATACTCATGGGAAAAGCTGTTATCCCAGACTGTAATGCTTCAGCCAGAGACAAGCCAGAGGTAACTTGTCTGTTAAGCAAGGAGTTCCACTTGCAGAGCTAAACCCTAACATCACTGAGAACACTTAAAGACCCAAGAAGCCAGAGAAATAAAATGAAGGAGCATTTCAACAAGGAAAAAAAGTGACAGGAACAAAGAATCAGTGCTTAAGAGAGCCTGTCGCTTTTCCAGAGGATCTAAGTTCTGTCCCCAGTACCCATGTTGGAAAGCTCACAATTGCCTAAATACTTCAGCTCCAGGAGATCTGATTCCCTTTTCTGGCCTCAATAATAATAATAATAATAATAATAATAATAATAATAATAATAAGTCCATCAAATCACCAGGAAGCTCAGGAAAGGAAACATATCTAACCATTCTAGATTTTCTTAATTGACAGTTATGTGTATATATATTGTGTAACGTGGTGTTTTAAAGCTTACTTATTGAATAGTTAGATCTAGCTAATTATCGAAGGCATCACCCCACACAGTTACCATTTTTCTGGTGATAGCAAACAGCATGCGTATTTATACTTTTAAAGAACTCAGCAAACTGTCACTGTCAGCTTTGTCCCTTGCTGAGCAGTGGACTTCTATGATTATGCATCCTCTGACCAGTACCCTGCTTCCAGCTTCTGGAGGTCAACGTTTTTATAGTCTACAATGAGAGAGAACAGTGTCTGTCTGTGCCTCTCTTGTCTCAGCTCATATAAAGTCCTCCAGTTCATCAGGGAACTCTTACAATGACTGTATCCCAGCTATTGGGGACAGTGTTGTGTGAACATGAGCTCATAGACCTCTGTTCAATACACACAGTGCCTTCCTTTGATCTACCAAGTTGTGGGATTGTTGGTCAGGCAGTAATCCTATTTTTGTTTTTGAAGAGTTTCCATGTTGTTTTCCACAATGGCTATACTGATGTTACTCCCACCAACATTGTTTAAGAGTTGCTCTTCCGCTGGGCAGCAGTGGCACATGCCTTTAATCTCAGCATTCAGGAGGCAGAGCCAGGAGGATCTCTGTGAGCTCAAGGCCAGCCTGGTCTACAGAGTGAGATCCAGGACAGCACCAAAGCTACACAGAGAAACCCTGTCTCAAAAAAAAAAAAAAAAAAAAGAGTTGCTCTTTTTCTCTACCCTTAACATTGGCTCTTTATTGTCTCTCTAGAAATAACCACCCTGCCTCCAGTTAGGTGATGTCTCATTGTGATTTTGATTTGCATTTCCTTATGGTTAAACAATGCCCCGGGTTGGTTTGTTTGTAGGGGGTTGGGTTTTTTTTTCATATACTTATGCTGAAACTATACAATGCTGTTATCATAGCAATTGAGACAAAGTTGTACTGCTTCCTAAGGTACCAAATCCTAGACTGAGTCTGCCTCCAAGAAATAACCTTCCTTTAATTTTAAATCACAGTCTTCGTCATTCAGACCTGATAAGAAGGGAGGTGAGTTGTCAGCACTTACAGCCACTTCAAGTAAATCTGGAGCCAACAGTCCCCTGTGTATGACTCCTACTCTATGCAGACAGATGATTGGTTAGTTAAGGCAACTAGAAGCCATAGCCATAACCTCTAGCTAGCCTCAACACTAAGGAAAATGACACTTCTCCATCTTAGTCTAAAAACTTCAACTGGAGAAATAAAACTCTGAGTGTGTGTGTGTGTGTGTGTGTGTGTGTGTGTGTGTGTGTGTGTGTGTGTTTTGAGGGGTCTTGTTTTTTTTGGGGGGGTTGTTGTTGTTTTTACTTTATTTTTTTAAAGATGGAGTCTTATTATGTAGCCCTGGTC